ATCACCAGTGCTGCAAAAAGCCATTTTTATAAGACAAATATATCAGCAAAAATGACATTTCACATCTGTTCCTATTTATGGTTTCATTAGATTTCCCATTTGAACGTAACAATTAAAGAGACAACCACCTAGTAGAAATTAAGTCTGTGTCACCCACCCTCTCAACAAATGTGGCGTCTTTCCATTAGTTTTTCAGACCTTTGGTTTTAGAAACAACAGAATAGTACCAGTTCAGTAATGTGGAGTGCTCAGCACCCCACTTTTAGGTTATCCCTATTTGAAGAACTTGGTGGGAGAGAAGTAACTTGTAAACCAGTGCGCTTCATGCTGGTCAAAAGTTAAATGACAAGCGACAGTGAAGCTGATTTTTTTCCCCACTCCCCTTCTGCTGTCACCAATGTCAGGAGCTGAGGGGGAATGGCCTTCCTACCAAGAAACTTAATTTGGCTTTGCCTTTCCTTTCCCTTTGTACTTACTGCATTTCATTGTGTTTTCTTCCCTTTGTCTTCCATCCACATATCAGTCAGGATGGCTAAAGGTGACCCCAAGAAACCAAAGGGCAAGATGTCTGCCTATGCCTTCTTCGTGCAGACATGCAGGGAAGAACATAAGAAGAAAAACCCGGAGGTCCCAGTCAATTTTGCGGAGTTTTCCAAGAAGTGCTCTGAGAGGTGGAAGGTATTTTGACAGTTCAATTTGTAGGCTAGATTCGGGAATTGCTTATTTGCAGAGCCATCCCAAGTGGCTGCCTGGATTCTTTTCCACTTAGACTTTAAAAACGAAGTGCAAAGCCCCCCCCCCTTTTTTGCAAGGGGTTCTACAGTTGCCTTGTGAATCACAAAACCAGTGGGCAAGTGTGTGCTCAACTGTATCCAAGAGTTTAACGAGTTCTGTTCTTTGTAGACAATGTCCGGCAAAGAGAAATCTAAGTTTGATGAAATGGCAAAGGCAGATAAAGTCCGCTATGATCGGGAAATGAAAGATTATGGACCAGCTAAAGGAGGCAAGAAGAAGAAGGACCCCAATGCCCCCAAAAGACCACCGTAAGTTGCTTGAAAGAGTTTTAAAAGCTGTTACATTTTTTAAAAAAAGATGGTGAGACAGAGGCTTCTAAACTCAGCTTTCAATTCAGTGCCTGTCTATAGTTTACTGTGTCTCTGGGGTTGCAGAGGTTGACTGTGGGTTCTTCACTAAGAAGGAGGCACCCTACTTAAGGATACCAGAGCCCTTTGTATTGTGTTACTTTCCCTTTACCTAGCAATTGAAAGACAAAGACACCATACATTGCAGGATCAATAACTAGTGTAAACTCTTCAGATTTTGTAGCATTGAATGTGGTAATTCTGTGCCTGAGAGGAGAAAACATGGCAGGAATTAATTGTATTTTGGTGTGGTATGTTTGGTCATAACTATCTTATAAGCCTAGTACTTTGGGGGCAGGGGATGCAGGATTGAAAGTTTGAATCTAGTTTGGGCTACATAGCAAGCCCTCATGTCTCAAGAAGGAATGTGTAGACTCAAGGAATTATGTGTGTGCACACACAAGTGTTATCTGATCTATGACTCTCTCCCCCAAAGGTCTGGATTTTTCTTATTCTGCTCTGAATTCCGCCCCAAGATCAAATCTACAAATCCTGGCATTTCCATTGGAGATGTGGCCAAAAAGCTGGGTGAGATGTGGAATAACTTAAGTGACAGTGAAAAGCAGCCTTACATTACCAAGGCTGCAAAGCTGAAGGAGAAGTATGAGAAGGTGAGGAGACTGGAAGCTTCCCTGGCTGGTGGGGGATGCGGCTGTTCTTGCAGCATGCAAGAGTTCATTTCTCTAGAAGAAAGCAGTCTGGTGATGTTCTTGCTTCTGACAATTCTCCCACCCTCCCCTCATTGAACTCCATCCCTACATTTGAAACTAGTTCTTTAAACTGCAGGTACACCCATGCTTAGAGGGGAAAGGGATTTGATAGGGTTATTAACATGACTTAGAGGACACTTGAATGCCCATTGACTCCGAAAATTTGAATGAGCAAGGAACATATTTGCATATGGAAACTGTTGCCTTTTTGCTTTCTTAAGTGAGGCCAGAGTGCTGTTTCTACCTGTTTTCACAAAGAGCTATGGGAATTTAACCATTCATTATTTCCCATGTGTTCCTGTTTCTTGTAGGATGTTGCTGACTATAAGTCTAAAGGGAAGTTCGATGGTGCCAAGGGTCCTGCTAAAGTTGCCCGGAAAAAGGTGGAAGAGGAGGAGGAGGAAGAGGAGGAGGAAGAAGAGGAGGAGGAAGAAGAAGAAGATGAATAAAAACTCTGTCTCCTTGTGAATACCTTAGAGTAGGAGAACGCAGTGATTGACACATCTATTGAGCCGTGTCTATTGCCCTTGTTAGGTTTAATTACAAAATTTGATCACGATCATATTGTAGTTTCTCAAAGTGTCAGTGGTTTACATGAAGTGGCCATGGGTGTCTGGAGCGCCCTGAAACTGTATGAAATTTGTACATAGCTCCAAACATTTTTAAAATGAAAAGGCACTCTCGTGTTCTCCTCACTCTGTGCACTTTGCTGTTGGTGTGACAAGGCATTTGAAGATGTTTCTGGCATTTGTTTTCAACTCGTAAGGTAGTGTTAACTATATGGTTGGTTATTGGCTAGAAATCCTGAGTTGGCAACTGTACATATCTATAGTTTGTAAAGAGAACAAAACAACCCAGACAGATTCTTGATGCTCCTTGTTTGGTGTGGAGGCTGTGAGGAGAAGATGCCTTTTGGAGGGGGCCGTAGCTCAGGGCGTGCACTGTGAGGCTGGACCTGTTGATACTGCGGTGGGCATCCATTTAGCTTCAGGTTGTCTTGTTTTTGTATATAGTGGCATAGCATTCTGCTGACATTCTTAGTTGTGGAAAAGGGGGGAGGGGTCAGCTGGCATGAGAAGTGTTTGGATTTTTTCTTCAGTTAAGTGCCGTAGATTTTAAACCGTTTTTAAACAAACTGTAGAACTCATCATTGTCAGCAAAGCAAAGAACTACTGCATCAATGAAAGTTTAAGAACCCTCTGTACCTAAACGCAATTTGCAACATTCTGTTATTTTTTGTATGTTTAGAATGCTGAAATGTTTTTGAAGTTAAATAAACAGTATTACATTTTTAAAACTGTTCTGTATTACAACAGCCTAAATTTCTACCTCACTGGTCTTAGTGAAGCCACTTGCTTTCTTCTGATTCTAAAACTGCTAAGGACATGAAGGGGGTGCTTGTTACTTGAAGTCCCTTTATGATTTTTATCTGGCATGAGGGAGAAGCACTGACCATGCCATAGGTAAAGGTTAGGAGCCTACAGAGATACAGGAAAGCAAGCCTTAGGAAAAAAGCTGGTCTAGTCATGTTCTGATTCTGCTTGCCTGCCATCATGACTTTGTGGGGTGTATATCACAACCCCTTTTTACCTTTACTCCAGCATGTGTAGTAGGGGCACAATCAGAGGCCTTAAGCTGCTTTTTTGTTCCCTTGTCCCCAGGAGGTGGTATGGGTTGGAGTGGCAGAGTATGTTTGTGTGTGTGTGTGTGTGTGTGTGTGTGTGTGTGTGTGTGTGTGTGTGTTTTAATTCAAAAAAATCAAAACCCCAAGGAAGATTGCAGGTTCCACCTTAGGTGTTCGTGTGAAGGCTGACCTGTTCATGTTCACTAGTGTCATGGAGGACTGGGTTAGTGACTAAGTCTTCTTATTCCCCAGCATTAATATTTGCGTATGTATGTTTAAAAGGAGGAGGAATTTGATAATGGTTAGTGGCGTTTCTAAACAGCTTTTAGCCTAGGGTTTTCAGAACATGCATGTCTAGAGAAGTCCTTACCATGTTCTTGAATCCCACAGCCCAGGCTCTGCACTCCAACCATCCCCTCACTACAGAATAACTTGTCCTTTCTCCAATCCTTCCACTCACTAAAAACCCATGGTTATGAGGTTTGTTCAGAGGCACTTGCTTCAACCATGTTCATTTCAATAGACATTTTAACTTGCAGCTGTTGCCGCTGCCCAATACACAGTGTACAGGCCAAGAATTGTGAACCATGGCCAACCTTATTAAATAAGGAAAAAGCAGCCGGGCGTTGGTGGCACATGCCTTTAATTCCAGCACTCGGGAGGCAGATCTCTGTGAGTTCGAGGCCAACCTGGTCTCCAGAGCGAGTGCCAGGGTAGGCTCCAAAGCTACACAGAGAAACCCTGTCTCAAAAAACCAAAGAAGAAACTTAAATAAGGAAAAAGCTCAACATACCCACAGATGGTTTCTTACTAAGCAGTACTCCTCAGTCTGCTTGAACTATGTGGCACCCATGGAAGGACAACTAAAATATTTCTCTTAGTCTTTTCCAGTAGACACATAGGCATGGCAAAGTGTTTACTTAGATTTCTAAGATTCAGATAATTGGACAAAAACTTAGGTTGAGGCTTGCTTGGTTTGTTAGCTGCTTGCAACAAGATTCAGTGAAGTGTTTATGCTATGGCAAGATGCTCAGATGCGAGGTCCTCTGAAGCTTCTGAGATGCTGCAATGTGGTTTAAGCTTAACCTGGTTTCTGGACAACAGTGCATTGTTGCGATCCCAAATAGATAACACTTTTTAATCAAATGGGCAGTACCTGCTTCCTTGAAGGATCTCTCATGCAACATTACCCTGTGAGGTAAGATGACATTTTATCCTTTGGAAAGAACCTGACTATAATACAGTAGCCATTGTCTATTGTGTGAGTATGATCTGGTCACAAATATACCTGAGGGTGGTAGATGCATTCATTTTTTGAAATAGTTTCTTAATCAGTTTCTTTTTCCCAGAAGTAACCACTGGGCTGTCTGTAGTCTGTTTCATGTACTGAGGTTTTGGATGTAAGCACATATGAATCTCAGTAACCATTGATCTGAGCTAACATTTGATAGAGTGACACTATCACAAATGTTCTAAAGCCCCTCTGTCAACCTTTTAATCAGAGGAATAGAGGGGTTTGGTTCTGAAACCTTGTGCCAGGATACACATAAATTTGAAGCATGTTGATGGAGTGTGCCTTGATAAAGTACCTAGGTGCTTAGAATCCGCTGTCCTCTCAATCAGTACTTTGTTGAACTCATGGTGATTTTTTTCTGAGGGTTTCTCTGTGTAACAATCCTGACTGCCCTGGAGCTCACTCTATAGACCAGGCTGGCATCAAACTCACAGATATCTGCCTGCTTCTGCCTTCTGAGTGCTGCTGGGCATCATCTTTCTACCTTGGCTTTCCTAGTGCTGGGATTTTATGTAAGAGGAAACGAAGAGATAAATCTACATAGCATGTACCACCATGCCCAGCAAGAGGCTTCACCAATTTTTTTAAAAAGCCAAACATTTCTTGTGTTTAATGAGTACTATACAGAGAATGATCCTTGATAGCTATACTTTTGCTTTTGAATGAGTAAGATTTTTTTAGGCATACAGTGATCAAAAATAGAGCATGTAGTGGATAGACAGCAAAACATAATCAAAGCAGGTGCTTTACAACCTCCAGTAGATTCAACTGCGGAATAGCTCAACTATGTCCAGTAGATTCAGCTGCGGAACAGCTCAACTATGTCCAGGGAACTTGAGTTCCTGATTAATAGTCCCACAGCATTCTCTCTACTTGTTTCCACCACGGAGGATTTGGTTGTTTATTTTTGTTTTCTTTACCATGTGATAACACCTGTTGGCAATGGTTTACCTTTTAGCTGTTGTCAAGTGTGCAATGTTTTTAACACCCTTTCTCCTTATCAGAAAGGCAGGGGTTCAGTGTGCTCCTTACAGGGAGTTCTGGAAGACACTTAAACAGGCTTGAATCTGAGGCAAGAGGGCCTATCTCTTATTCTCAATCAGCTCTCAATAGGCACAAACAGCCTATGTCAATTTATACTTATAACTTATAGTATAACTACAAGCAGGAAAGTGAAAAAATCAACATATAGAACAAGAGAAAATATTTGCAAAATACATATATAATACGGTTTCTAAAGTATGAAAAGAATCATTACAAGTCAGTAATGCAAGCCTGTAATTTCAGCAGTTGGGAGTCTGAACAGGAGAGTCTCAAGTTTAAGGCTAGCCCGGGCTACATGTCAAAAAGGTAATAAATGCTGTAATGCCTGAAATTCAGAGAACTATTAAGTAAAAAAATTAAGAATAGCACAGGGACTGAGAAAGCTCAGTAGGAGAATGTTGTCTGTGAAAGCATGAGGACCTCAGTTCAACTCCCAGAACCCCATAAAAAAAAGCCAGAGGGTCTGGGGAGATGGCTAAGCAAGTAAGAGCATTGACTGTCCTCTAGAGGACACACGTTTGATTCCCAGCACCCACAGACACTGCACATATGTGGTACTCGGACCTTCATGTAGACAAAACATTCATGCACATAAAAATAAATAAGCAAATAAATAAACACGTGGTGGGTGGCACATACTTGTGATCCTGACACTAGGGAGGTAGAAATAGGCAGTTCCCTGGGACGCATTGGCCGGCCTAGCTTACTTGGTGAGTTCCTGGCCCTAGTGAGAGACCCTGTGTTAGAAAATAAGATGGGCTGGGATGTGGTGGCTCACATTTTTAATCCCAGCACTCGGGAAGTGGAGGCAGGCAGATCTCTGTGAGTTCAAGGTCACCCTGGTCTAGAGAGTGACTTCCAAGACAGCCAGAGCTACACAGAGAAACTCTGTCTTGAAAACCCAAAACAACAACAACAACAAAGATTGACAGGGCCTGAGGAGGAGTGACACCTGATGTTGTCATCACTGGTGAACACTAAATTATTATTTTTATAACGACTATTGTGAGTAATGCTGCACTGAACATGGACAGTGAACAATGAACCCTAACTTGTTGTAACTCTAAATCATTCTTCTCTTAGTTGCTTTGGTCACTTGTTTTATCACAGCAACAGAAAGCAAAGTAAGACAGAAGAGCAGATTAACACCCAGAAAGAGACTGCTGAGTCATATCCTGGTTCTACTTGTAGAAGGGATACATTGTGTTGGTTAATGGCATGTTGATGAGAATAGAATTTAAGTTCTCTACACACACACACACACACACACACACACACACACACACACACGAACGATGTGGATGTGAGATGATGTATATACTAACTGGTTTGACTGTGATAACCCCTTAAGAAGTATGCATATGGGCATCAAAATAGCATGGTCTGGGGGCAACAACTTACTTGCCCAGCATGAGCAAGGCCCTGGATTCTATCCCCAGTACCATAAAAGCAATAAGAAAAGTGTGAGGTTGTACATTTGAAATACA